TCGCAAAAGCCAAGTATTAATTTGGCGTCCGTTTTATGTATTGGTAAATCAAAGGCTAGCAGCGGCGTAAATCAATTGATCGACGTTACTTGGCACTCTGCGTAATAATCGTCCGATCGAAAAAGTGTCGTAGATAGCACATGCAGTATAACACACATATAAGAACCCTTTTCAGTAAAGTCATCGACATTAATTCACTATCTTCCTCTCTCTCTCTCTCTCTCTCTCTCTCTCTCTTTCTGTTTTTGAAGGGTTTAATTATGTATACCGTACGTGGCAGAACGAGAGGTTACTAATCGATTCTCAGCAAAAAGCAACTGGCAAACACCGCGTACATACACAGAAGATGATGTCCGCTCGATGTTATATTAACGGGAATCGATTCGGTCGCACGAACTGAGCCCTTTCATACGTATATTCGTACGAGCGTACAGGCAATGGAGGAGAGAAAGAGAGAGAGAAAGACGATGAGGTACATCAAGGATGACTCTTATGAGTGTGTACTTGTATATATGTATTCACGTGAGTACCAAGTGCAACGAATCGAGCGAGTCTATTATTATTAAACATTTTATATGTTTGGCTCCTACTGTGACGATGTATCTTGTTCGTTTTGCAGAGAGAACACCGAATAAATTACATTGTCTATAGTTATAAATATGCGCTTGTCATATCTCATGGGACATATTTCAGTAGTGAAACAAGTTGCTTGGGGAAAGAAGCAAGAGAGTTAATCACGCCTTGATCCATTATTGACACGTTACGAAAACTCTCGGAAAAATATTTTGGTCGCTGTACGCGCACCTGGAGTCTTGGTGACAGAGATCTATATTATGCTCATTTCGAGATTTCTCTCTCTCTCTCTCTCTTTCGAGCGCGTGGCACTTGGAATTACCGCGCGTTGCTACAATAATAAATCCGGTCCCACGCTTCGAATCTTGTACGTACACCAGGTGATCAGCTGGCGCAAGTAACGCGAGAAGACATGTGCTGTGCTGAAGAAGTTGGAGTTGGCGCGCGCATGAGGCTTTTCAGTATAATACGCATATTATGATTTGCAAGTGCCACGCTGCACCGGAACTAACACCTAATGGTGTTTCCATCGCCTCCTCCTCACCTCTTGCAATACTTGCTTATCGACTCGTGCAGACTCCATTTATAACGCCCCTCACACCACAATTTTCAAGCATAGATTTAACAGTTATACAGACGTGAAAGCAGCACTAAATCTTCCAGCGAAAATGGAATAAAATACTTTATATCGAAGCTTTTGATTCATTATTATAGTAACAACAACAACTACAACAAAGTCAAAATACATACTCTGCATGTATGTTTATTTGTATCGAATTGTATGTGTACGTTTTTTATATGTATCGATCCTGTATGTATTTTGAATCTAAATATTTCCACCTATCTCATGATTTCCATCATGTCTTGGAGTTTATACTTGGCTTCATCCAGTCGAATTTTCTGTACAATATCTGTACAATATATTCTGTCAAATAGCAGACCTCTGAATTTTTTAGCGTTGTCGAAAATAAATGTAGCCAAAGATACTTAAATTCATTAATGCACTATCTTTCATTGTTGACTCGATGGCTTTTTACTTTTCTGCAGCTTGCACACTGACAAAGACAGTCTTGAACCATAATTCACCCTCAACTTTTTACGGAGCATCTCTTTCTCTCGTATACGTATATTTTTTCTGCGCTTCTGAGCGCGACCCTAGTTTTTACACAATCCCCGCAAAAAATCGACAAACAATCGGATAAATAAGAAGCGTCCAAGCCGTTGGACCAATAAAAAAGCCTATAACAATCACCTTTAACTTTCTCCAAAAAAAAAGCTTGGACATCCCTTTGTCTCGCTCTTCTCATTGTGTGTGATCGGACGCGCACGCGTGCGTGCACGTGAATACACTTTGCGACTGCTTCTCTTTTTTTTCAAGCGGCGAGAAAAAGGGGTTACATATAGGCCCACACACACAATGCACAGACCAGGCTAAAGACGAAGGAGAAGATGAAGGAGAAGAAGAATCGATGCTCGGGTTAGGTACAGGTTCTCGCATTTATGCACGCATATGAGCAGGAAGTCCAGCATTTGACCAACAGAGATAATACGGAAGTCGGGGCCTGGAACGCTGCGGTAGAAAAGATATGACACTACCCTGACCTTTGAAAGATCTTCTAGTTCGTGATCGGATGGCAAGCCGAAAATGTCTCTGCACGTCTGGAATAAAAATCTCGAGACTGCAACAGCTAAACCGGAACTGTCTCCAATTCCAAGTTCAAGCCTCGAAGCGTCTCGATCGATGTATGAATATTTTGCGAGCACGACTTTATTATACCGGACGTGTAGATATATGCGCAAGCGCAAATCCCAGCCTCACTTATGCACATCAATATTGAAAAGGCCGCGGGCTCGACACGTTTCTTCGATACGAACAAGAAATCGTCGTGCTTCGTGTACTCGCGTTCTATACAAGGTACAAAGCTGTGTACGTGCATGTAACCCGACATACATACGCACGAGCTCAACTTGACTTCATGTAACGAGAGCAGATTAGAATTGAGTACGGTACATCGTAAAACAAAAGCGCCCAAGATACTATATATTTATATCTTTGTCAGCAAAATATCAAAATGGCATCGCAATACACATCCGATATTCTCCTTGTAATCGTTCTTTTACGGCGCCGTTGGAAAACGTAAAATTTTATAATATTAAACTCGATCAGTTGCCATTTAACAGCATAGACTCGAAGAACAGTCAAATCATTGTCGATAGCTTTTCTCCGGCGCAAAGACGCGCTTTGAAACTAGAGAAAATCAAACGAAACACAGCCAGCTCGATTTTAAACATCTAAATGTCCTTAACGGAAATGTATGTTGCCACGGATCGGAGCTACGTTGCAATTTTTTATTTCCCACGTGGACGCGGGCCTCTTATCAGTGAGCAGTATATAACGTTAAAAACAGCAAAGCGGCTATCAGTACGTATACGTACTAACTCGTTAGAGGCGAGCGCGCCAACGAGCGAACGGGGCAAGTTAAGCAAAGGCCAGTTTTCTCTTTCTCTCTCATATGCGACTGTATCTACTACTACAACACCTCTTTTATCGAGTGGACTTTTGAGCCTACACGGCTCGCTTCCTTTTATACTTATATTTACGACGCAAACACGAGTACTTGCTGTATCCTACGTTTTGTCTATCGTCTTCTTCTCTCTTGCACACAAAGCAAAAGATAATTTGAAAAGTCGATAGTTGCGCACACATATGTATGTGAGTATTTTTAATTAATTAAAGCGCCGGAAACGAGGTTTGAATCAGTCACTTTTCATAAACAACACGACAATAGAGCCTTATCTAATAAAACCATAGTTGAGAAAATAATTTGTTGTTTGAAATTAAGAAGTAACTCGAATTAGCGCTGTCTGCTGCATAAATGTATTTGTCTAAGATAAGGGTAAACTCGCTGCTTTTCAATCGAACGAGGACGATAGCTAATTTAGTAAGTTGAAACTAGTCAAGCATCGATCTTTTTTGCACATCATTTCGCAACCTCTTACGAGGGTTCGAATAGATACTCGTTCGCGACTCTGCTTAATCAACGCTTCATACAGCGACAGCGTGTCAAAGGTCAAGGTATCTTTGGACTCGAAAATTGCTTTCTTTGCTCGGTAAAACAATCGCTTTTTGATATTTAAACAGGCAATACATGGTGGAATAGATATTACGTCGTGCCATAGTATTTTGCATTCTTTGTTCGTGCACTAGTCGGCTTTTTCTTCTCTTGGCTACGAGTGGCTAGCTCTAGATTACAAGCGTAAAGTTTTTGCGAGTCACGCTCAATTTCATTGTCTACCATAAATATATTTGGCTCGAGGCGAGCAAGTTGAAAACCAACGTCGGCCGTTTAATTTACACGGGCTAGACACCCTTATAGATCACATTATAAGGATCTAAGCGAGGCATGACTTATATTTATACGTTCGCGAATCGTAATAAAAATCCGATAATCCTATCATTCTCACGACTTCAAAGCCTACATCTCCGCGCGCAGATACCGACAGAGCGGAAGAAAAAATGATTGTCATTCCTCATACATAGAAACGCTCGAGCACGAAGCGTTTGCATGTAACGAGCTCTATTATTCGCTTACGAACCTTTATTTTTTACAACTTTTTAATCGATCATATTAGCTTTCCGTGTGCTTCGTAAATGCTCGCAATTGAGAGAGAGAGAGAGAGAGAGAGAGAGAGAGAGAGAGTCTCGTCGAGGCGGGGTAGAAAAAATCGAGCCAATCAATCTCCTCGTTGACTTGTCGTACAAAGACGTTATTGAATTTCCTCGAGGCTGTGTAATTGCCGCGTACGCGCGCGAGAGTCCAAGCAGTATAGATCGCGAGTTTCGAATCTTCTCGTTACTTATCCTCGAGCTAAAACACTCTGTACAGTGCGAGAGAAGGAGAGGTATTCATTGAGTAATGACTCTACATTAGCAATTATCAATGATAGTTGCGGACGATGGCAAAGTGCGGTGTGACTGCGCGCGATCGTCTTGAAAAGCTTACCTTGTTTGTATCTCGCACCATGAACGCTCTTATGACCCCTTCCTACGTACAAGCAAAGTCTATTTATTACTGCAGAGTTGGCGCAGGAAAAATGCACATCCGGCGCGATTTATAAAGCTCAAACGCACACCATCCATCACTAATCATCGCGTTCCAAATGGCAGTTGCGCTGCAATGCGCGACGTTACCTGCACACGCAAGCTCGTGAACGAACAAATATGAGCCTAATGAAATTATCAATGGCGCAGCTAGTTGGCTTACCTAGCTCGGACGCGTATCGATCAAAAACTTGCTTGTGCGTAAGCGCAATCGATCAATACTTTGGCTTATATAGCATTATATTCATAAACAGTCAAAAAAATGTACATTAAAAACTCCAAGCAATGAGCGATACTTAAACGTTGACTTATTTTCTTTTTACAGGTTTCGAAGGTGATAATTGCGAAATAAACATCGACGACTGCGTGGGCAATCTATGCCAAAACGGAGCGACGTGCGTCGACCGCGTCAACGAGTACTCGTGCACATGCCCCCCTGCGTTCCACGGGCCGCAGTGCGAGTACGACGTCGACGAGTGTTCCATCAGGCCGTCGCTCTGCCACAACGGGGCCACCTGCACCAACAGCCACGGCAGCTATTCGTGCATATGCGTCAACGGCTGGGCCGGGCCCGATTGCAGCGTCAACATCGACGATTGCGCCGGTGCGGCGTGCTTCAACGGTGCCACCTGCATCGACCGAGTCGGTAGCTTCTTCTGCCAGTGCACGCATGGAAAGACTGGTAAGTTTGCGCCGCCGATATTATGTATTTATTTGATCATTTTGTAAGCGTATAGGAGAGCGTATACGGCGGCGAGCACAAGGTCAAAGCGCCGATGTATATAGCTTTGCCGCGCGCTCGCCAAGTCAAAGGAATAAAAAATCGAGTAGCTGCAGAGATTCTCGGCTCTATGTGCAGCTGCACGCGCAGCAGTCCGCTCTCGCCAACACCATAATCGGCGATTCTCTTATTTGCTTGATTCAGAGAGGAAAACGCGCGCACGCGGCCCTTTCTTTTTTCTTATACTTATACGGTATGTATAGCACAATCGCGCGCACTCCAACTATTAAAGATCGGATCAATCTGCTATTATACACTTACGTACACGTGCAGTAATCAAGCTGCGGAGGCCTTTTACGCGCGTTAGCTCGCGCCTTTGCACCGGACGCATCCCAATGAGCCGAAATAAAACTATCCGACTGCAAAAATACTGTGACTCCAGTAAGAAAGATTTTCACCCAAAGATTGTGAGAATTCTACGCGCGAGAAAATCGTGCATTCGCTTGCTCACCGAGTCTATACCTGCCGCGCTGTTTTTCTATTGATTCAGTGACTAGGTATATGAAATGTATTTAAACATTTCGTAAGATCCAACAGAGCACGCGCGTATTGGTAAAACTTGTTTTTTCTCAACGTCGTATGAATTACACATGCGTAAGCGGCACACTTGCACGCAGAACCGAAGGTCAAAAGGAACAATTCTGTCTTTCGATTCGCAAAAAGAAAAAAGTTCGCAGGTGAGCGGTGAGTGTGTGTTTCGGGTCAAGCTTTTAAAAGTCCGCGATATCATCCTGGATTTTCGACGAATTCTATTGCGCTCCTCGAGCGTTTTTACTTGTGTAGTCGTTCGTTTTTGCGCGTGAATAGATCCCAGAAATTGTAAAAATTTACTAAAATACATATTAAAATGCTCCAATTGTGATTTTCAGGTTTGCTTTGCCATCTGGATGATGCATGTACGTCGAATCCGTGTCATCAAGACGCTGTGTGCGAAACTAGTCCGATCAACGGCTCCTTCACGTGTTCCTGCACGAGCGGTTATCGCGGCATCGACTGCTCCGAGGACATCAACGAGTGTGAACAAGGTAAATAACGCAAGTTTGATTTGTGTCTAAAGCTCGATAAATCGTAGCTCTGATTCTTTTGCCCCTTATCACGTGACTTTTATGCATCAAACGCTGAAATTCTTGATCACATTGAGTTGATATATCGCAATGATTAATTTGCAAGCGCGCGATTACGCCTACATAAATAAATAATCGTGACAAACTACCTGATGATTTCTTATTGCTTTAAAAATAACAGCACACCGCGCTCATAGTTGTCTGGGAAAGCTAAAAATATTTGTGCAACGGCAAATTGAAAAATCATCAAATATATGTGTTTATATGGCTTTGAACCTAATAAGCTCTAGCTTAAAACCTGCAGAAGTTTTCTTATCAGTCTAGTTGAAAATCGAGGTGTTCAATATTAATTCTATTTCTAATGCCTGAGCTAGTATATCATCGAATATAGTACATAATAATGATCTTTACTCAATTATCATAAAAGTCTTACAATAGCGTATGAACGTAGTCGTAATAAACGTATACAATGTAATACCTCCGTTTGAAAAGACAAAATGGTAGGTGTGAGTAGAAACTTTGAATTATCAATAAATCGTCTTATTGTGTCTATGCTCGCCCCCACTTCAAACATCTATTTTAGCACTAACGTCGCATTATACGTGGAAGATGTTGCGTTGCGTTCTTACGAGTTGAAAGTTTTTTAATTGACGTATTTTGGTAATTTATATCGCTCGAATTCTCTGAATAATTTTATCAGCAGCATCAATAAAAAGAAAGATTGCCACAATATTTACTTATCATACAAAGGAACTTTGAGAAATGAAAAATGTAAGTGTTCCTTACTTAGAAGCTGTATTATTATTATTAGTCTTTTTTATTTTTCTAAAAAAAATTGCTGCAACCGCATAGCTTCATGCACGCATACATACATATCGGATTTCTGAGCGCACGCGAGATTCTCTGCTCATTCAAGTGTTCTCCCCGACTCTCGAGATCACGTCTTTCATATTTCAAAGATATACATGCACATAGACGTCGATGAACACGGCCGCACTCTTGTGTATATGTGCGCACACTAACTCTGTCCGAGAGATCAATTTACGCTTTCAATGAACCCGTTCGCCCTCTTCCTACCATGACGGTGACGCCGCTCAAGACGCGATGATTATGTTCGTCGAGCAGGATTTTATGTATGTGCACGTTATGCAGCTTCGGTTTTACACTTGATGATTTGAACCAACTTTGCCCAAAGATTCGTAGTCCTAAGCCAAGAACTGTACTTGGTCTTCTATCCGTGGAACAGCTCTGGGCACTGTAGGTATACAGAGTCGATCGAGGCACTTTTTGCATCTTCATCGCGTGCGCGCGTAGATACGAGTGAACCCATATAAAGAGTCGCAGTAAGTTCGCTGTTTACAAATATACGATGCCACGCCGCAAGTATGTACTTTGAAGGATCTCTCGAGACTGCGTCGTATGAGCTCGTTTTGCCGATAGCGGAATGTTAATTTGAAAACTACATAACACATACGGAGCACAATCAAAGGCGAACTCTGCGATTTCCTCGTCACAAATAATGTACTTGTTGCAAAAAATGTGCAGATATAGGTATCGACATAGCGCACATTAATCAAATTCGAGCCAAGTTATGCACATCGCTCTAGAGCAATCGATCTCTATTAGGGTCAAATTGAACTTTTTGAATTATTATATTATATATCGCGGGTATGGAAATAAATTGTTGACGCAGAACGTACTTAGAGCGACTATACGTGGCGATTATTCTGGTAAAGAGCGACCGGGCATTCAAGGTGTGCAGCCTCGAGCGAATTTCGTGCGATTGACCGTTGCAGTCAGGAAATTACTGCTCGAGACTCTCGCTGTGACGTACTTTGATCGATATCAAAAGTTGACTCGCCTTTTATCGATGCTCGGCCGCGTATACTTTTGCGGTCATTTAATTATAATGGTATGTATAATAACAAACCCAATCTATAAAATCGCGTTGCACTCGAAAATCTATAAGTTTCTGCGCACGCTCCTATGTGCCTGAGTTCAACTTTCTCTTTTAGCAAACTCTCGTGTAATAATGTCCAATAGAATACTCGCCAGACTGATTGCAGTCGAACGACTGCACTATACGCCGATATTACTTTTTGATAAGTCTTTTCTCAGTTTGAAAACTTACATGAGCGCAAACTGGACTTTCACGTTTAAATTCATATTTGTTGAATCGTTAGATTAAGCGATAATCGTAAAAAAATCATATCTCAAAATATGGTAGACTCCTCTTTTCCGTTTTTTCTCAATCTAGTGGCGAGCTTACCCAATTTTTGATCGATAAAACGGCTCAAATGTTTCAAACGCTGCTTGCGCGCGTAACTCAACACCGAGTGCTCACATGTATTATTTCGAGACAAAAAGAGCCGATCGATCTTGCACAATATTTCGAGAGTCCAGAGGTCTACAGACTCAAGGGTGGTTCCGTTATACTGAATAGTTGTATATGAAAAAATTTCGACCCTGCAGCAAAGTAAGCCGATATGCCGACACAAGAGGTATGACCACCTGTTTTACGCGTTTATTTTACTGTTCTATTCGTTTAAGTTGCCAACTAAGTAAAGTCTAAAATATACTGGTGAACTTGTGTGAAATTGTATTATTCTTTCGTTAAAATTACGAGTAATTTTTATCGTACGTATCTCTGTGTGTGCCTGGAAGTATTTTTATTATGCACGCAACGCGTCGCTCAACAGGAAAGTTCCGAAGATCCGAATCTCTTCAAAGCTACACATGCATTAATATAATTTCACTAAATCGTATTATTAAATGTAGATTAAAATTTATATAAGAAATACACAACCTCTTGAAAATTATCTTGCTATGTATGGGAGACTAGCTGCAGTTCAATACATTTATTATGTGCACGGAAGCCAAATAAACGTTTTGACACTATTTTTGACATATTAAAATTTTCGTTCGGTTTGTTGGGACAACACGAAAAGTTAGCGAATCATCGTGGTAATGAGAGTACTTGTATGATAGTACTTTACAATGCAAGTGCCATAAGTAATACTTTTTGGCACGAGTATCGTACAACATTTTATAGCACTGTGCTAAGTTCACATTTATGCCCCCTTTTCGGAGTCATGAGTCGCACTTTCTGGTAGCGCGAAGTGAGGTTAGCGCACGAGCGTAAGCGAGCGTGATGCGAACGCAGCGGTGCCAGAATGTGTGACTTATACCACGCAGTGCTATAAAAGTAAAAATAAAACGAACGGCAAAAAATTGTGTGTAAGAAAAATACCTCAAGTTGAAATTTCATTCAGTAATCTCGGTTTTTCGTGCGATAAAAAAGCGTCCGCTCCTCGCACAGTAGGTACGAGGGGAATAAAAAAATTACTCACCGCAAGTATTTGCCAATTAAGATATACTTTATTACGTATTTGTCTACGACGATTTTATTTCAACACAATGCTCTCACTTGGTTCTGCTATACGATCGTGGAGCAGAAGCATCTTTCGAATCAAACTCCAAGGAAAATCTCAACTCCGCAATACCTGACCATACAAAACGAATGCGTAACATAATAGATTTGAGTTTATCGGCTAACGGTAAGCTTGTGCCTTCTCGTGCAATGTATCGAAAATATCCCGCGAGCATGCGAACCGAGAAACTATTACACTCGCACTTGTGGTAGGCAATTAAAAGCTATCGTTGCGAGTCGCACTCGTGCACGGGTGAAAGTTTTTTGCGGCTTCTCGGGTATATAATCGAACACACCACGCGTCCAAGATGGTGATCTTTGATGTATCACTAAAAATTTCATGTATCCCTCGTTTAAGGCCAAAAAACAACGGCATTGTAACATTAGTATTTTAAATATTGAAAAACATAATTAGTTTAATAATGGCTTTTGTTTTATAGGATCACCTTGCGAGCATGACGGTATTTGCGTCAACACCCCAGGATCGTTTGCTTGTAATTGTACGCAAGGCTTTACTGGACCACGATGCGAGACCAACATCAACGAGTGCGAGTCTCATCCTTGCCGAAATGATGGCTCCTGCCTTGATGATCCTGGAACTTTCCGTTGCGTTTGCATGCCTGGTAAGTGCATTCTGCATTTTCAATTCTACCGCATTATTCGAGGTCTTGTCACGTCTACATGTACTCAATGAAAATACGTGAATTTATTTGTCGAATATGTGCGTACGTGAGAATAGTATACTTATGAGCTTTTGGTCGAAATTCAATTCGAGAATACATGTGTGTGGTATTAAGCAACACGAGAGTAGACGGTCGTGTGTATTTAACCTACCGCATTTACGTTGTCATCGATGTCGAGTTTTAGTTCTTTCTATGTGCGCGAGTGGACGCTCCCAAGTATATATCTACGTAAAATACATACACTTATAAAGTCGCGAGATCGGCACAAAGGGTTTCGAAGAAAAGAAGATACTTGTTTCGGATCGTGAAAGTGAGAATTGTCAACGAAATTTCCCTATTGAGTTTAATAAGTTGAAGGCGATATGAATATTTGTTGCCTCGATTGTAAGACGCGCTCAAAATTTGATAATGAAATTCAAATGTCCACGTTTAGATTATTCGGAAAAAGTCTAACACCAGGCCTGTATCTATTCATAAGAGCATCTCATTCCCATGTATACAGGTACAAATACACACGTGCGCGCTAATAATAAAACGTGCGAGAGCAACTGTATACACTGATAAGCTTTATGCCTGTGCTCATATGAAATATCGCTCCCTGTCGGGAAATAACGCTCGTCCAACCTTGCTTTGTGTCCACTACGAAGGACACAACAATAGCTCCGTATATATACGGTTTATCTTATTATTTTTATCCCGCCGCGACCTGCTGCTCGTATAATACAAAGTTCCTGCGCTCTTGCTTTTATTTACATTATCTTTTCTCTCTCACTTGATACGATGCTATCTCGATAGAAAAAAAGTTGGAGAAAATTTATATGTAAGCCGGTATAATAGCGAGTATAGGAGGGAAAAATTTGGATTTTTCACACCGATGCCGCTCAACTCGCAGTGGCCGATGCTGTTGTTAATGAAACCGATCTGCGTATCTGCATATACATGGGGCATTTTAATGAGCTGCAAAATACTCGCTGTATTTTATTATCAATATAAAAAAAGTTACGCAAACGGTCAGGGTAAATATTTTCATCCAATGTATGCATAGTACAATGTAAGTTTGAACTCGAAACGCACAATTTTTAGAAATAAATATTCTTTACTTGGATGTTCAAAGTATAAAGACGCATTGGAAAAAGAGAGAGAAAGGCTTATCTTGGGCAAATCTTCATATACCTATATACACGCCTTTTTGTCGTATGCAATATATGTATATATATACGTGCGCGGGAAGGAGACCCCCTCGCCTTTATCGGGTTGACGATCTATTCCAAGTCTGCTTACTGACCATTCGCTTTTTCTGTGTTTATCCTGTAGCTTCATCTTAAACTGTATAGCACTTGCGGTATACAGCGAGGCCACCTCCTTTTTAGCTCCTCCACCTCGCGCCCATGTGCCTATAAGAAAAAGAGCTTTTTGTGCCGGAGATGTGGATTTTTATATATATGTATATACATCTCTCTCTCTCTCTCTCTCTCTCTCTCTCTCTTTTACTCTCTTGTTCTTTCTGCCTCGTGTTGTTCTTTTTTTCTCCTGCTCTTGGACACGTTGTCACGCTCGAGCGGGCGAGAGAATCGTGTTGGGTGGGTGTGCATATGCACAGGCTCGTCGTCTGGATTTCGACTTGCAGGTTTGTGCATTTTAAGAAAAAAACTTTTTTCGAGATCTACTTGTGAGCTACCCATTGAAAGTATCTCTCATAGTTGCACGTACAAATCTCACCACGCACTGCAATTGACGCGTACCGGATAAGACAGCTGCACAATCGTTGATGCACCACTTGGATAGTTGTGTACGTGCTTATACACTCACGAGGCATGAACGCTATGTATTATTACATACTCTTACTCGGTCAACGTGACTGCATCAAGTTCAAAGTTCATTCAACTTTAATTACAGGCGCGCGGTGCAACGAAAGATGAAAATAATTTTTTTATTGAAGTGAAGCTCGCAACTTACGACTGACGCTTTCGAATGATCGGCCGAACCAGCGCTACACTCGCTCTCGATAACATTCGCGCGCAAGCGTCTACGTGCCAAAGTGGGAGGTGATCCCGTACCGTGTGTACCTATGGATATAAGACATACATTTATAGGCCTGAAAAGAAGGCGTAACTTCAACTTTCTGCCATTTTTACGCTCTACAGCAGAATTTTTGTTGTTTGCGAGTCGCGCTTTACCCATGCTCTAATTTTTGTAATGCCAACTTTTCGTTTCATATCAATGTTTCTAGGGCTTAAAAATTCTTTAAAGTGTATTTATGCACTATGACAGATCTTTTATAATTAATAAAAATTAAACTGGAAAGAAACGTCATAAACGTTCACTTACTTCATACTTGATTCAAGCAGTAGTATACGATTAATTGTTTTTTTATTGATTCGACACATTATTTTTTGTTTCATAAAAATATAACTAATGCTTCTTTCAAGATTATTTTCGTCTCATTGCGTACCCACTTTAGGATTATTATTATTTTCTAGTCATTGTATTATAGTCATATCGTAGTATCAGTTTCAGTATCTCTGTGCAATTGCATCTCTGTAGACTTCTTCTCTTTTTCTCTTGCGGTCAATTAGTTTTCAATTTGCTTGCCATATCTATTGTAACGTGAATCTACGCCGGTGGTCATCGCTCGGAGATAGTATAATACTTAGACGACAAAAATATTCTATTTCTCACATCTCGGTGAGCTGCGAAAAATGAAACGTCGGTCTCTACTGCTCTGCACAAAGTCAAAAGGGACAAAGACTACATGCGAAGAAAGACAGAGAAAAAAGAACAAGAAATCTCATTGGTTGTGTACATATATACACGCGCAGAGAGTCTCTTGGATGCATTTACATTTAAAATGCAAAAAGTCCTCGCCAGGTACGGGCGTGCACTCATATAATGGTGCTACTCGTTTTCTCGCTCTTTTTTTATTTCCTTTATACTCACTCATGCTTGATGATGTCCTTTTTTCCGTTGCATTTTTAGCTAGTAGGAGCGGTACATCGGGTCCATTTATATATTTGTCTGCATATGTGCGCCAATTTTTTTAAGTTCCAATAATTTTTGATCAAGACGACTTTCAAGAAGACTTGAACTTATTAAAAGTTCTCATTTTTTCTATCCTCACGCGAGTAAATAATAATTACTAGTACCTGTGGATTAATAATTTTGCAATCTTATATTTGTTTGTGAATCGATACTTTGTATTATTTGTCATTTATTTGTGACAAACCTGGTGATTTACAAGAATTTTTCCACCATGAAATATGGGAAAGGAGTGATAATACTGTATCCAATCGTAAATTACCACCTACATTGGAAAGTCAAATCCACACGCTCTCAACTTCGCGTGTGCGTGTTGTCAAGCACGACGCATTTTGCTCGACCGATTCGCCTATACGTATAAATAATTTTGAATTTAAAAAATTCTATCTCGCATGCGGAATGCATGTAGACAGTGTGATACTCGAATTCATCCAGTTACGCTCTTGTATGTGTTGTGTGTATGTGCACGTACGTACGTACGTCTCATACTTTTGTTGTTTTTTTATTTTCAACCTCGCGCGCGTGCGCATAAGCCAACGAAACCAGAAGACAAGCTAAAGTTAAAACGCGAGATACACATTATTTTTCTTTCTTTTTCGAAAAAAAGTCGTGGATCGACCATCGCATGCTGTGAAAGAGGAGAGAAAAACTGGTTTTGCACTCTGAGTCAATCGTGCGATGATTTTTAAAACGAATGGTGCATATGTTTCGCTGAGTACATAAATTATACATTTATATTTCGATATTGAATTTTTACAATTTTTTTAAAAATAGCTTAAAACGTACAAATACTATCTATCCAGTTAATTCAACAAAATTGTACAAAATTGTTTACACCCTTGGAAAAAAACTCAAGTATCTCTTACGATAAAAAATCGAGAAGCATAACATCTTTGCAGAGGTGTCTCAGTGGCATTTGAATATCATTAACGCGTGTAATGAGTAGCAGTCGCTTGAGCGAAAATTTTCATGTTGCAAAAAATTGAGTGTACGCCTAAGGCAAGAAATGAAGCGAAAGAAGAGCAAACAGCACATCTTCAAACCCAAGTCCTAATTTAATCTAGAAGTAAACGATTGACTTTGTGAATACCTTGTGCGAGTAAGCACGCATCAAGCTCAAAAAAGTGTGTATACTGCTAATTTCCGATTTAATGCGATCGTAAAATTTTTTAAAGTTTGTAAAATAATTTTTTTTTCTTCATAAAACTATTGGAAAAATGTCTCATCGCATTCGCAATGCTGCCACTTACTTATGATTAAATTAGGGATTTTTTAGCATTCGCCAAATGATCCGTTTAGGCAGTATGGGAAAATAAAATGAGTTAAAAACACATTATATTTCCGTTTTTCGGCAAAGACTGCCGAAATTGCAAGTTGCTAATAAATGACTTCGGCAGTCTTTGCCGAAAAACGGAAATATAATGTGTTTTTAACTCATTTTATTTTCCCATACTGCCTAAACGGATCATTTGGCGAATGCTAAAAAATCCCTAATTTAATTCATAAAACTAGCTAATGACGCAAAGGAATAAACAAAAAACATGAAATATACAAGCTATGAATAAATCCAATTATGATTTTGCCCAAAACAATCACTTCCTTTAGCGTGGAAATTATCAATATAAAAATCAAGATAAATGATTCATTGAATGTATGGAGGGATAATTTTCGAGTCTTATTTGTCAGTGAATAGTAATGCACTCTTTCACGGAATTCTGAAAAACATCGTCCGATCGTGCAGAGATTTCCCACTGCGTCGACAAAACAAATAGAAAAAGTTCCGAATTTCTAAGAAACTTCGTAGACGGTAAAAAACCAAAAATGATACATAAGAGGCTATTAATTATCCTACGGTTTATTATTATTACTGCCACATTCGTTTGCTATTCGTTATAATTCAAAAA